GGTGGTTTATTGGAGATAAGACTCTCAAGGAGTTTTCTGCCCGGGCTGGCTTTGAACCATGATCCTCAGATCTCAGCCTCCTGAGTAGCGAGGATTACAGGAGTGCACCATTGAAGCCAGGCTCTCTCTCTCTCTCTTTTTGTCAGTGTGGAACTTGAACTCAGAGCCTGAGCGCTGTCCCTGAGCTCTTTTTGCTCAAGGCTAGCTCTGCCACTTTGAGTCATAGCATCATTTCTGGTTTTCTGGTAGTTTATTGGAGATAAGAGTCTCAAGGACTTTCCTGCCCGGACTGGCTTTGAATCTTGATCCTCAGATCTCAGCCTCCTGAGTGGCTAGGATTACAGGCGTGAGCCACCAGCACCCGGCTATTGAATATTTTCATTCATAGACAAGTATAATGATTCTCATCAAACATGGTATAATGATTCTCATCAAAGATGGTATAATGATTCTCATCAAACATGGTATAATGATTCTCATCAAAGATGGTATAATGATTCTCATCAAACATGGTACAAAGATGGTATAATGATTCTCATCAAAGATGGTATAATGATTCTCATCAAACATGGTATAATGATTCTCATCAAATATGGTATAATGGTTCAGATCAAATGAAATGTTTTCGTTCATAGTGAATATAACAGCTCAGATCAGTGGAGGATTTCATGCATAGGTAAGTATGGCATAATGCTCCGATCATAAAGAAATATGGAATAACATCATTTACAGGAAAACAGGTGGAACTGGAGATCATCATGTTAAGCAAAATAAGCCAGACTCAAAAGACTAATATCACTTCGTCTTTCTCACATATGGAATCTAGATTTAAAAAAAAAAAACAAAAAAAAAGACATGAAAGTCAAAAAGGGACTAGTGTGGGGAGAGAGGGGAGTGGGGTGATGAGGGGTGAGGGGTGAGGATGACCTAATGAAGTGGTGTTTCTGCATAGTAGTTGTCAGGGCTTTGAGGACAAGCATGGGTCCTTCTGCTTTTCTAATTCCTTCCTCCAGCCCCCAAAGATGCATGCTGCTGGCATCTGGGACAGCCAGACTGTGCGATGCTTAAGATCAAACAGACCCTGATGGTTGAGACCTTGCCAGTTGTCTCAAGTGACAGCTTGTCAGGAGGTTTGCTGCCAGTCTCCAGCCCCTGAGGGTGGGATAATGTGAGGTCTGCTTCCCACCACTCTGTCATGGCACGTACCTGCACGCTGGGGGTGTGTGGAGGCCAGGCTCTTGCTCAGAGTGTTGTTGTAGTAGTTCTGCACATTTCTCAGACTTAACTGGAAAATCTTCATCCGGTTTATGAAGATTTTAGTCTCATCATCAAAGTAACTCACGTCTTCTGTCAACCAGTGAACCAGTGGCTCTGCTTTCTCCTTCTCACTGTTGTAGCGGATGAAGGGCAGATCGTTCACCAAGCCAGTGGCCAGAAAGGCAGGGACTCCTGGACTGGGCTCCGACACAGCCAAATAGAAATACTGCAGAGAGTATGACCCTGCAGTAGGAAGCGTGCATCCACAGTGAGTGACAGAATTTATTGAGTGAGAACTAGCTCCCAATATGTGTATATGTGTGTGCATGTATGTGTGAGTGCTCACATGTATGTGTTGTGCATATGTGCATCTGTATGTTCATGTGCATATATGTGCATGAATTTACACATGCATGCTTATGTGTGCTGTGCAGCTGTGCACACCTTAGGTGCATGTTCATGTGTGCATGCCTGTACTTTGTGTATGCATGTACTTTATGCATATATATATATATATATATATATATGCAGGCCAGTTGAATGTTTACATGTATACACTTGTATGTGCACATTAGTGCCTATGTATGTGTGCACCTGCATATGTGCATGTTTGCATACACATGTGTGCTTATGTAAGTTGAATGTTTACATCATCTTTGCATGTGTATGTGAGTAGACACACACACACATGAATGTACAGACATGTGTTTTACCTGTCAAAGTAACAGAACACATTACATGCATGAGAATCCATGTGTGTGCATGCATGGCTGCACACACATATCAATGTAGGTATATGTACATGTGCATGCATTCATATACACACATGCGCTTGGCATACTACACAATGCATATATTTTGTGCACACATGTGTGTGCATGAATATACATGTGCATACAGTAGAAGAGGCAAGACACAGTGTAAAACAGTGGGAACAGAGAACAACCTATAGGTCCAAGAAAATTGTTATTTTTTGGGTGAGGGTTCTAGTCCTATGACTTGAACTCACTACCACTTGAGTCACAGCTCCACTTCCAGCTCTTTAGTAATTATTTGGACATAAAGGTCTCAGGGACTTTCCTGGCAGACTTGCTTTGAACCGAAATCCTCAGATCTCAGCCTCTTGAGTAGCTAGGATTACAGGTTTGTGCTATTGGTGTACGGCTAGCCCAAATGAATTCTAATTCCATAGAGTCTGTGCTAACAGATTTCAGAAAAGGGGCAAAATGTTTGCTTAAGGCCTCATCAGAAAGTTCCTGTGGAGAATGGAGACATGGCTCAAGTAGGAGAGCACTTGCCTAGCATGCTCAAGGCCCTGGATACAGTCCCAGGGAGAAGTCCCCACAAAGATGTTCTCAATTGAGACAGAGGGATTTTGAGCAATAGATATTTCAAAATACCCTCAGAGTATGGGCTGACGTCAAAGTTCTGTGAAGCAGGATTTTCCTCCAGTTCAGACTGACTGTAGCATCTGGAGCCTGGGTGGGCCCCTGACTCAGGACCCCTGACTTCAGATGCTTCACTGGGAACTGGAGAAAAAAGCCAATAGGTTAGAAACCCTGATAAAGACTCAGAGACTCTATTCTGCTAGGCAAATACTACCTTGAGCCACACTGCCTGTTCCTTTTGTTGTTAGTTGTTGTTGTTTTTGGTTTTGTTTTTGGCTTTGCTTGGGTAGGCCTGGAACTATTATGCTCTAGTCTCTGCTTCCTGAGATTCTCCTCCTCCTCCTCTTTCTCTTCCTCCTTCTTCCCCCTCCCCCCCACTTTCTTTTTTAATACCAGGGTTTGAGGTCATGGCTTCATGCTTGCTAGGTTGGTGCTTTAGTGCCTCAAATATATTTCTAAATGTCTACTGATCCAGATCCGTCTATTCCTCAATCAAGATTGTATGTGTGTATCTCTGTGTGTGTATGTGTGTGTTCCTGAGGCTTTAACTAGAGCCTGGCACTGTACCTGAGGATTTTGGGGGGTTTTGTTGGTCACGGGACTTGAACTCTGGCTTGGGAGCTATCCCTCAGCTCTTCAGCTCAAGGCCAGTGCTCTACCGCTGGAGCCACAGGGCCACTTCCAGTTTTCTGGTGGTTTATTGGAGATAAGAGTCTCAAGACTTTTCTGCCCAGGCTGGCTTTGAACTGTGATCCTCGGATCTCAGACTCCTGAGTAGCTAGGATTACAGGCATGAGCCACCAGCACCCGGCTCAAATGAACAGCCCGGCTGTTTTGGGGGTTTTGTTGTTCATTGTCTAGTGCTCTACCATTTGGGCCACAGCTCCATTTCTGGCTTTTTTCTTTTTACTTGGAAATTGCAGTCTCATGGTCTTGCCTGTTCATGGCTGGCTTCAAACTGCAATCCTTAGATCTCAGCCTCCTAGATAGCTAGGATTCTAGGTGTGAGCCACTGGTGCCTGGATGCTCCAGAGACTTTTGAGCGCTTATTATTCTCTCATCTGGAATACTTTGTCTCCACCTTTTGGCTACTATTGGTCTTGTGCCAAAGTCTGAACTCAGGGAGGCCTCACCTCTCTTGCCACCTCTCAGCCCAAGAAAGACATACATATGTCCCAATACTCAAGGAACATCCGTTGATTATGTATTCACTATGTGCTTGGGAATAAACTGCATCAGATGAGTTCTCTTTTTTGTTGCTCATTGCACTCTTAGTGTGTATAACAATACTGTCTTAGGTAGCTAGAGGGAAGGAGACTTGCTAGGATGAAAAGGATTGTCTCATGTAGTTGTAGGGCAAATACAAACTGTATCACACAATGGTGAGAGCACATTGAAAATCTGTAGGATAAGTAGGCTGGGAGCAAACATCCCACCGAGGCAATGTAGGGGGAGAATTCTTTACTTCTCATGGACCTCAGTCTTCAACCAGCTTTACTCAAAACTTACTGGTTTAAGTGTAAATCTCATCCCTATCACTCCCACAAAAACATCCAGAATAGTGTTTGATAAACTAGCTGTTATTTTATGGCATGGCCAAATTGACATATAACATTAACTATCAAGCTGCGTCCTGGTGGCTCACTCCAGTAATCCTAGCTACTCAGGAGATTCTGAGGATCTGAGTTGGAGCCAGCTGGAAGTCCTTGAGATTCTTATCTCCAAAGGCAGGAAGGGGCTGAGTGGCTCAAATGATAGAATGCTAGCCTGGAGCACAAAGAGCCTCAAGGGCAGTGCCTCAGGACCTGAGTTCAAGCCCCAAAACAGACCCGCCCCCCCAAAAAAAGTAGCCTGGCACCATTGTCTCACGTCTATAATCCTAGCTACTCAAGAGGCTGAGACCTGAGGATCACGGTTCAAAGCCAGCCCAGGTAAGGAAAGTCCGTGAGACTCTTACCTCCAATAAACCACTCAGAAAACCGGAAGTGTGCTGTGGCTCAAGCAGGTCGCCTTGAGCTGAAAAGCTGAGGGACAGCGCCCAAAAAAAAAAGTAACCACAATCCAAGAGCCAGGGGCTCATGCCTGTAATCTTAGTTACTCAATAAAGATTATGGTTCAAAGCCAGCCTGGGTAGAAAAGTCCCTGTAAGACTCTTATCTCTAACTTCTCAAAAACCAGAAGTGAGACTGGCTAACAGTAAAGCACCAGCCTTGAGCAAAAAGAGCTCCAAGACAGTGCCCAGCCCAAGTCCAAGCCCCTGACCACAAACAAAAAAGGTGAGGGATGAGCTGAGTTGGGTGCTGCTGGCTCAGGCTTCTAATCCTAGCCACTGCGGAAGCTGTGAGCAGATGTCAGTTTGAAGCCTGCTGTCATAGGAAAGTCCATGAGATTCTTCTCACTCGAGAAAGGAAGTGGAGCTGTGGCGTAGTAGAGCGCTAGTCTTGAGCAAGCCCCATAACCGACAAACAAAAACCCCACAAATAAAAATAATAAAGCTCCAGAAACGCCAAATCTGAGTACCCAGGGTGCTGAACTAAGATCCGCCAACGCTCCTGCCAAGATTTTGGGAAGCCACCGCTAAGAAACAAAAGGCCGTGAGGTTCTGGGTGGCAGCGCTCTGCGTCCTCCCCCCTGCCCGCCCTCTCCTCGAGCCTTGCCCGCTCCCTACTCACGGGGTCGCACCGAGGTGAGGACTGAGGCGAGGACCATGGCAACCCGCAGCATCGCGGGGCTCAGAGCCCCAGGAGTCGGGTCCACACCGCGGACCCAGCCTCCGACGTCAGGACTCAGGAGCGTACCCTGTTGGTTTCACTTTCACCGTGAGTTGAGCAGAACTTCTGTGGTGTAAGAGCGCTACGACACGTCCGCAGCCCGGGGGTGTGAGGGGGCTGCCCCAGAGGCAGAGAGTCTGTGTGATCCCTTCCTTGGTCATAGGGACCCCCAGCACCGTCCTGGCGGCCTCTCTTCTTGTTTTCTTCCTGACCAAACAGGACTTTGCCACCCAGGGGAAGAGCTGGTCCCTGGAGATAAGAGTCCATCGGGGAGAGGGGAGGGTGAGGGAAATAGAAAGTTAACGCAAGCGAGGGGATTGGTCAGATTAGCTTTTAAAAAAATGCATAGCCCCACCACCGAGTGTACTCAGTGTTCAACCTGCCCCTGTCCTCCCCACCTGTTTTTCTTTTCTTTTTCTTTTTTGGTACTAGGGGGTTTGAACCTCTGGTTTTATGCTGGCCTAGGCAATTCTCGCCCCCTTGAATTCCCATCTGTGCCCCCACGTTTCTTTCCTTTCTTCTTCCCGCCCTGTCTTCCTCTCTCCCCTTCTTTCTTTCATGCTGGAGATTGAACTCAGCTGCTCTACCACTTTTTTTGCTTTGTTTTTGGGGGTGGGGGTCTGGAGTATGCCCTGGAGATTCCCCCCCCCCATCCCCCTCAGTTTCAAACTCCCAACCCGTGCTAGCTGCTGCTGCCTGGACAATCATGACCAGGCCTCCAGTTCTCGCTCCTATTGGATGCTGGGTTCCTAGAGAAGCCAATCAACTTCCCCAAGCTTAAGTTCTCCCATGGGGCCCCCAAACTCTCCTCCTGCTTTTTCTCGGGAGCCCTGGCCCCCACTGAGACCTGGGCAGGAGAGTGCGGGTCGGGAGGCAACCGGCCTCTGCGGGGGGAGCAAGCAAGTTTCTGCCTCTGTCCCCTCTCCGCTCTCCCACGCCTTCTCCCGCAGCCCCACATTTCCCTCTAACGAGGCCGTGCGCCTCTCTTCCTCTCCTGGCCGTATTAAGCTGAGACACCCCGATCCCCAGGTTCCACCCTAAGGGCTCTCATCCGCTCCGGCCCGCCCCCCTCCCTGCGGTATTTCCACGCCTCCGTGTCCCGGCCGGGCCTCGGAAGCCCCGCTTCATCGCTGTGGGTTGTGTGGACGACACGCAGTTCGTGCTCCGAGGGAGGAGCCGCGGCGCCGCGGGTGGCGCGGGAGCCGCCCGCGTACTGGGAGCGGACCAGGCGGCGGCCCACGGTCAGCGCCCGGTCCTACCGAAGGAACCCGCGGAACCTGTGGGGCTACGACAACCACAGCGAGTTCCGTGAGTCACTCTGTGCTGGGTCGGGAGTCTGATCTCTCCATGGCCCCCGACCCACGGACCTGACCAGAATCACTCAGAGTTTCCAGGTTCAAACCTAGACTTCAGGCTTGGCCTGAAGAGTCCGTCGGAACGCCCACCCAGGCTTTCATTTTCATTCACAGCCGAATTCCCCCAGCCGAGCTGGGCGGTGCTTACCATCGGGGCGGGGTCGTGGGCGGGGCTGGCAGCAGGCGGGGCGAACGGGAGGGGCTTCTGGGAGGGGCGGTGGTGTGTGGGCGTGGCCTACGGGGGTGGGCGGTGCCTGCCGGGGGATGGCCGCGGAGTGGGGCAATGATGGGCGTGGCTGACTGCAAGGACCTGGCCTGAGCCTCACATCACACTGACTATGATATATGGTTGGGAAGCAGAGACAAATGGGCACTTCCTCGGTAGGTACCGTCAGTACGCCTACGCGGGCCAGGATTAGCTGTTTCTGAATGAGGACCTGCTCTCCTGGACTGTGGCAAACCTGCCTGCTCAGATGACCCGGGACAAGTGAGAGGCAGTAGGGGAAGAGTGGAGTAGCTCTGGCTCCTCAGATACCTGGAGGTAACCAAAGTAACTGACTACCAGGCCCTTTGGGCATGTGTGTGTGTGTGTGTGTGTGTGTGTGTGTGTGTGTGTGTGTGTGTGTGTATACACACACGCTTGAACTCGGGGCCTTGGCACTGTCCTTGAGATTCTTTTGTTCAAGGCTAGCACTATACCACTTGAGCCACAACACCAGTTCCAGCTTTATCTGTGTATGTGGTACTGAGGAATTGAACTCAGGGCTTCGTGCATGCTAGGCAAGCACTCTACCACTAAGCCCCATTCCCAGTCCCATTCAGGATCTTAACAAGGAACAAGAGATGATCAAAACCTGGCTCTTATAATTGCTCCTT